ATGTAAAATGTTAAACGACGAATCACTTCTTTTTCGTTTCCTTCAATTCTTCAAAAATTGCCTTTCAGTTTCGTTCAATTCATGAAGCAAATATCAATTAGTTCACGTATTTAAAATTTCCCAAACAAACCAAGTGAGGTTCTTCATTTGGTGATTAACAACATATTGAAAATATCAACTATGAACAAGACCATCAAGACAATAATACTTATTTCGGAGGAAGTGGTGGTTAATCCTTAAAAACAATATTGATTTGATAATCGAATAACAATCACACCCAACGACATTTAATTATAATGATAATAAGGGTGAGGTTTGCCACAAGATGTGATTCATTATACTGCTCTCACATTGTCACTGTCTCCCTCAGACGTGTTCCTTGAACACACCTGTTGTGGTCAATGACCACGGGTTCACGTCTAATTTTACCACAGCATATGCATGTATAAATGACACCTCTACGGACTAACCGATTGTCATTCTCAACCACGAATAACATATCAAGTCGTGATACAGCTTAAGGCTTGATATTTGCTCCTAGTTATATTTCGATTTGTCGTCAGTTAGAAATACGGGGTTTATGGTAGGGTTGCAACTGGGTTTTAGGAGTCGGTATAGGGTCAATTGGGGGTGGGGGTCTATAGTATGTATAGTGTTTGATCCAGGGTAGAGTTTAAGAATTGGGTTAAAACAGGATAATGACCGCAGAGCATTCGTCATCGGATCTTGTTTCGTACAATGCTTAAGGCTATAATGTAATCGTACACCAGGAAACATTATGAAGTAAATGACATCTACATGTCTGCCAAAATATAATGCAACATAATCTATGTTACAAGGGGTCAGTGTACATTTTAAACATTTAAAGTTTGTTTTAAATGTTTTATTGCAGGTATGGTATTCTTGCAGCATAGCAGCCAAACACGAGAAAAGTCAACCTATAGCATTTCTCAACAAACATCATAAGGAGGACGAATGACAATGACTCAACATTCTAATGAATATATCAAGCAAGGATCTGACATTTATGAACATGCAATTTCCCTCTGAAGTGATGAGTATACTTGCAAACGTGATTCCATGCAGGCTGTCATGTAGTCTTGACGCAATTAACAACTGATTCAATCTCTTTCGAACGGAACTCCGTTGAACAGATATTTTAACGGGAATTTAGAGTTCTGGTAAGGAAACTTCATTTTCAGAAGTAGTTTTATTAAACCATTCTAAATGGATGATTATTTATTAGATGAGGATTCTAATAAATTCGGGTTGTTTGGACTGGCAAAATGAAAAGAAAACTTCGAAAACTTGCGGAAAAACATATACAGAGAAAATTACCTACACAAATATGAACATGCAAGACTTGATATTAAGATTTTGTTGGATTCTGTTGGAATCCTTTTTTCATCATTTACCAGAACTCAAGATTACCTTTAACTGATGATGGTCGCATGACACAATAATGAAAGAAGCACTTTGTAAAACTCTTTATTGAAAATTGAATATTAATCCAACATTTGATGAAAAGGTGCTGGCGTTAGTAACTTTTCAGTAAGTAAATGTATACTTTGTACCAGTTGAAAACAAAATGAATGACATTGATTTAAGAAAGAACGCGTTTTTAATAGCATGTTACCATTCTTATCTCTTAAGGTCGTTGAAGATCTCTATTACGTAGTCAAAGAGGACAGTGTGTGTTTCTCTCTCTCTCTCGTTCGACATAAGTCCTGCATTAGCCATGTTGCCTTTGTACATGTAGAACTCCTTGGTTATGGTTCCAGAGTACCCACAGTTTGAAAATGCCAATTGGTCCTAAAAGATCATCGATGGCCTTTACATAATTATGATATGGATCAGCATATTTGGTGAATGTTTAAAAGGATTTCATAGGAACTGAAGTAAAGTCGGTCAAGCTGATGCCATGGCAGCTTCTGCTACCATCGTCAGAACTGTAGCTGGTAGACTGAACTTTTTTCATTGATACCAGAACTTGACTGTGCAAAAACAGATCACATTTGCTGCCCTCCAAGAACCAATGTCTCCCTAATCGTTAATAGAATATGTATATATTGTATATATGTTTTAATCTAATATTTCATAATTCTTGTGAAAAAGAAATGCAAATTTTAGTGCAATATCACTGTAGTATCTTGGCAAGCCGGTCGTTCAGCCCAAACTCTATCTTTTCATATTCAGTTTTGTATAATTCATTGACACTAATATAAAACTGTAATTGATCGATTGTTTTCATGGCTCTTAATATCACAAGGAGCAATTAAACCCATCAGTCAAAATACATTCATACAATGTCATCAAGAGCTTGCACATGTAATCAGGCTTTATTACACAGCGGTCTTGAGGCTTCATTTCAAGTGAAGGGTTTGTTATTGCCTCCTGCCTTTGTGAGTAGATGTAGACTATGTATATATGAATTGCTGGGGGCGCCACAAGAGCACATTAAAACTTTTGGGCGGAAAACTGTAAATTGTGTTGATAAATCTGTGTCTTTTTGAAGCATTTTGTATGTTCGCTTAAAATCTATCGGCTGCTCTTCAGCCATATCACGCCATTCAAGTTCTGAAGCTCGACGTTCTTGGTGTCGATTAACAAAATATGGGTGAGGGTAGGTAATCGAAGACGTTTATTGGTTCCAGTAATTATGTATTTGATGAAAGTTACATTTCCACATGTCAGTCACAGATACATAATTAGCTATGCATTTGCTGAGGTTAAGTCAGTCATCTCGACCGATTCGTCTGTATTTATGTTTAACGTCTCAGCTCACGATTACCCCAGAACAAGGAATAGACACATTTAGTTGTAGAACATATCGACCTCTGAGGCAACATCGACAGAAATGGCGGCAATTCAAGCTGAAGAATTCTACTACGTTCCGATTATACTCCTTGCCCTTGGATTAAATACGACAGTCCTCATTGTCATCCATCATCAGACGGAAATCCAAGATGTGATGCGATTGCTCTACCAGATCATGGCCGGAATTAATCTTCTTCTTGTGACAGTCTGGGGACTTTGGTCCATGATTTTGTTCTATTTTCACGACAAACGTTCCTGTACCATTATGAGTAGAGTGTTCCCCTTTCCAGTCCGCACTGCAGTCATCTGTAGCATGGCGTGCCACTGCAGCATCAGTCTTAATCTTTATCTCTTGATTAGTAAGCCGTTGCGGTATCACGGGATGGTCACTCTTGCCAGAGTCCGTATCGTCGCTATAGTTGTGTTCGCTTTGATCTTCTTGATGAGTTCTATTTACTTACCTTTTAATTTCTTCAAGCCATTCTTTAATTATTTTTGGAAGAAATGCATGCAAATAGAGAGTGGAAAAGAAGAAATGTGGGTGATAAAACTACAAGCTGCATTTATGATTGCACCCGCCTGCCTAACGGTCGCAATCACTACGTTCATATACATTAAACTCTTCCTTATTGGACAGAAAAAGAAAAGAGCCATTGTCAATATTGAAGTGCGTCCCAGAAATCATGTCGATGTAATCGAACATCATGCCGATGACGAGGGTAAAAGTCCAGTCAATGTTCCTGGCTGCCTGGCTGGGACTGAGAAAAAATCCAGAGGTCTGCAGTTTGTCAAGTGGCTGCAATGCGGACGCAAAGGTAACCACATGGTACGGGTGGAACCGTCTAAAGGAATGCTCACTGTCCTTATCATCACAGGTTCCTCTATCTTTGCATATGCTCCATATGTAATCTGTCACTCCATTTTTCCCAATTCAGCATGGCACAGCGCAATTGACAAGTTTGCTATATCCATGACGTGGGTCGAACCGCTGGTCTATCTGGTAACCAACCAAGAAGCTCGAAGACTACTTCGAAGAGTCGCATGTGGTCGTCACAGGGAGGAGGCAGTACAAATCTAATATGTTTCAGTGTCATAGTTTGGCTTTGCTTTGTGCAATCTGAAGGCACAAACCATTGAGAAATTTCTTAAATGATCTTCTATTGCAGGCTAATGACAAATTCTTCTTTCGAACATGAAAATAGTAATTCTTTGCGATTTGGCATATCGGATGTTTCTTCACGCCAGGCTTTTAACGCATAGCCCTATTAATAAGTACTTGCTCGGTATTCTCAAGGCTAAAGAGCAACACTTGTTCGATTCTTTTTGTAAATCATGTGTATCTAGAAATATCTTTGTACGTAATATTATCATCATCTATAATAGTTCAATTATAGTATATATAATCTGCTCTATCTGCGTCAATTCTTTCTGCGATCTGTCCCACCACCTCTAAAGATTCCATATTTTGTGTAAAAAATATATTTCCTTGCTGCTACTTATGTCGAAAATTATTCTGTCCGCCGTATGCCTTACACAGTGACTCATCAAAATATTAGTTTTGAAAATACGATATCTCCCCCATTCACCCAACTCATCCTAAATCCTTCGAGAAAGCCGAAGATTGAAACCAGATTGGAAAACATTTTATTTGCAGACAGGCTGGATTAAGTTTCAAAACAATCCGGCGTTGGTATGGAAGGACTATTACAGCTAGACGTGCAGGCAGGCTAGCGTGGCAAAACATTAAAGCCATGTTACACATTACTTATGTTTGTTTTCAGTAAGAGTCCATAATTGCATAATGCATGTATGATCTTACATAGTCCAATTTCAATTGTATTTCAAGGAATGGTATTCTTGTAACATATGTAGTCGCTCTTTGTGTGAAGAATATAGGTCTAATGATGTTTAACAAATAATGACAATATAAACATACCGATATTATATGTACCAAAATTCTTAGTATGGTTTTTAAACGTTGTGGAGAAAAGCCATGATTGCAATTGTCATTTGTATTAATTGTACAGGGCCTTCTTTAGCGGTCGTAAACAAAAACTTTAACCATTGTAGAAAACTTCGCTTTCTTCGCTGAATTTATCAGATTTCTAGATCTGATACCAAGGTGATATAGTGTTTTGTCAAATAAATGTTTTATGAGAATAACTACTCAAACTCTCCAAGTATCTTAAATATAGATTCTCTTTACTTCCTGTGATTGTTCGTCACTTCGTGTAGAATTATATTAATGCACTAACACAAAAGAGTGGTTCGTAATATTATCGATGGTAAAATTAAGCATATAGGCTAACATTTTACTAAATGTCTATACTATATCCATTGTATTACTGAATTAGCAGAATAAAGACCATAAAGTTCACCCGTCTTTGCGTGCGGTGAAAATAAACTCTTTCCCGTCATTGTGCTTCTCCATCAGTTTGTGTATTTGATTTCATATATGATTGTTGATATGGTACTCAATCAACAACTATTTTACATATTTCACCATTACAAAAACAAATGTGTTGTTCCAGCGATAAGCCAGTATGCTTTCAGAACATAAACACAGTAAACATTTTCTTCTACTCATAGCGCTATGTTTTGCAGACAATCTCGTTGTGACGTTTATGTCAGTTTAACTACAACGCCCTTTCAGCTGACTCCTGATGTGAAGGAATCTTGAAGGCTAAATAATCCTTCATCATACCCCATATATTTTTAGTAAGTTCATGGATAGCCCAATGATCAAAGCCCGTGGGGTCCGACGAAGGTGGAGGGTTATGATAATTCGTTGGACAACACAAAATCGGTCATATGCAATGACCATGAGGACCTGGTCATGCTGGACCCAAATAATAAATTGAGTATATACGCACACACTTTAGCACACACACGCACGTACCATCCTTAAACCCACTCTCTAACCCACACTCTCTCCCCACTCACATCATCATACTTTCTGCCCCCCTCTCTCTCTCTCTTTCTCTCTTGATCTCTCTTCCTCCCTTCTCTCCTCTCTATCTTTCGTTGAATTTGTTGGATGATCACTGATCAAGGTGATTTAAAAGAGGTCGAGTAGTCCCCGTGATGCTCAGGAAGCGACTTGGAATGAGATCTGTCATCGATGTTTATCTCTCCACTGTGTCTGCGCTTCATGACCTCAGAAAACTGATCACCATTCTCAAAATATTTCTCCGGCTGCGGTCTGAAAAACGATGACAGTTAAATTGGAGTTTAACAAGGACAAAAAAGTAGCATGAAAACAAAATTCAAACTGATATAATCCAGTTTCTTGATCATGTCATAAGCCCGAAGGTCATTGTAATGTTCACGAATTTCAATGGGAGACGGAAAGGGATTATTTAAACAAAAATTAGTTGATTTTTAAAAAAAAAATCTTTACGACCGTGCTCTTTCCTCATGCTATGAACGTTGAAAAAATTATTTTACAAAAAATGTATTGAATTGATACAGTTTAGATGCGCTTCTAAAACAAAATGTATTTTGTTCACTTACATTAATATGAAAGAATTTAATTATCTAGTCTGATCCATTTATGATTAGGATTATAGAAAATTGCATTAAATGTAAGTATTATTTTTTGTTTTTATAAATGATTGGAATCGGATGGTCTGAAAATAACTCAAATTAATATAACGTATTTCAATTTATACTGTATAGAAATAAAGTATAGAAGGGAATGAGAAAAAATGTATTTCAATCAACTAGAAATGATAAAACGAATCATTTTTTCGCAATATCCATATATTGCTAAAAGTGTAATAAAGACTTTGCTTTAGAGACTTGCTATTATGTTTGGTGAAGGTATTTCTTTCAACAACTAAAAACAAGAAAATTCGTCGAGTTAAACATTCGAGACACCGGAAAATCTTTATTAAGATGATGCTAAAAGAGTCCATCCATTCACATTTGCTTTAATGTTATTTTTACGGACATTATGTGTTAAAAAGGCACGTTTTTATCTCGGCTCCTTCCTGTGTTGTGTGGCGATGTTATTCTGAATTTGGATGAGCAGAATATGTGATGAGGGGTAACATTGTCTCATAAGAGAAAGAAGAAATACATCACGAGACACAATAACCCCTTACGACTACACGGTGTGTCACGAAAACAAATTTGAAAGCCAGGCGCAACAATGGGGTTTCAAAACTAAATCGGAAAGGTGATTCAAATTTATATTCTGTTTTAAAGCATTATTCCAACTTGTTTATTCCAGATTTGTTATCTCATCACTTTTCAATATCAAACTTAGAGTCAGTAAGCTACAATGTTGTGTTCAACAACATCGGAGAGAAAATGCAATTCAATTTTTAGTTCTCACTAGGTTTTCTAATTCTTGCTCCTAGTTAATCATCAGTGGATTTTCAGAGCGTGACGTGCACTTTCTCCGCTTTCTAAGGCCCCTTTCTTACATAATATCCAGTATACCTGTTTATAGTCATACATGACAGGGCAATGTCAAATGCTTACACAGGAAGTAGTAATTTAACAGCGACTTTTCTTGTCGATTTTCCTAGGCACCCTAAATGTATAAACGTCTCGGCGAGGTAAGACAAATTAGGATCCCAAGCAGGGTGCACTGTTTTAAGATGATGATAACCTTAATAAATGTCTAGGCTAAAATAGAAATCAAGCATCACGAAATTATGTTACGTGACCTTGTGTTCGAGTTTAATATGAAAGTATCTAATGTATATTTAGCTAATGTTGCCAATAAGGAAGCTCTCTAAGTGCAGATCTTAATATCTATTTTAAGAGAAATATTCATTGACAGACGAGTTAAGAAAGTGTCTATTGATAAATTAGTCTCATAGCGAATACATCTTTCCTAATCACTCTATTGTGTATTTCTCCTTAAAATTGTCTCCTTTCGATGCCATTATCTTTTAATTTATCAATTATGGAAGCAGTAATTAAAACAACTGAATTTTGTTTTCAATTTAACAAGAGCATATGATCGTTCACGTATTCTGAGTACAAGGCAACACCTACAATGTACTATCAAATCAGGGAGGCTGTAACATTGTGTCGGGGAAATGGAAGCTTTTTACTTGTTCATGTTACAAGGCATTTCACCTATCGTATTACGGTTCTGCAAATTACACTGCTAAATACTGCGGATTCAAAGCTATACCCTACGAAATATCAAGTTCCATCAGACTTCGTTTAGACCGTGTTGAAAGCGGGTTGATTTAGCTGTCCAAGGGATAATAAAAATATTGTCACTTTAAGTAATAGTGTCTTATTTCTTGTTAAGAAATTGGCAGAATGAGGGCAAATGTATGTTAATCTGCGGTTTTAGGGAAAAACCTATGATCTCGGTGGAACCGCTGTGGTTAAGAGCAGAGAATCCATTAATCAGGCTTAAATATATCCCGAATTGGTTCAAATTACACGGAGGAACGACAGTTCAAAGACACTTTCTCGGCAAAAAATACTCTTCACTAATATTCTTCACTAAATTTACCTTTTCGCTTCGCAAGTGTAAAAAAGAAAACGTACACAATAATATGTTTGGTGCAAATGTGATTCTGATGAGTTTCGTAGTGTAGTTCATCAGTATTGAGAAGTTGCAATACTGTATGCAAACTAATATCAAGTACTAAAAAAGAAGATAATTTCAAGTAATATGATATGAAGCTGTCCTCTCCTTGATATAATTGTATTTCCCTTCATAAATACAGTTAAACTCTCTGACTAGTGTGCTGCATTCATACCAGATTAGGATGTTTAGGGAGTTGTCTGTCGGTCTGCATAGACTCTGTATAGAATGTTCACCACTTATACGAGTGCTAGCTTTGCTACTCTTCAACAGTCAATGGTCGATATTTTGTTTAACATTTTTATGACTCATAAGCTTTCAAAGTATTTCCCGTTCATTTAAAGTGTCGATGATTCAATTCAAATGTGCAATCAGCAAAATCTTCGCAAATTTACAATATTTACGATATATCGCAAAATCAAACTTTTCCTGAACGCAGGAATGGACTTTACTGCTGCAAATAAAAGTTACTAAGAGTCTCGAGTATACATGTAGGTAAACTATTAATCCTTTGGAAGAAAATCTAAGGGAATTGGTTTGCCAACTCAAGACCCAGTACAACATAGATCATTGCTTTGACGGGATCATCGTGCAGTTGAATTGAAAACCGTTGAATTTCAAATCGATCTGGAAGCAGGCCTGCACTCAAAGCTCAAGTAATAATATTTTGTAACGTCGCATGGCGGTACTAGACCAACAATCGACATAATAGTGGACAGATGTAATAATTGTGTGACACTGAAGCGTACTGAAAGCTTGGTTCATTATTACATTTGTCTGGTGCAAATTGAAATGATGACCTTGTAAGGGGTACAAAATACCCGTCAAACCTAGAGAAGCTTAAACTCGGACAGACTGCATTAAAATGATGCCCTGGTTGTCATCACCTGACATCTGTCCTATTTTTCGCATGACATTTCCTTACTCATTCGATTTTGAAAGTCTATAAATTGAGAAGTACCCTGAGACCTTTATATGGCTCATTATAATTTGGTTGGTCACCCTGTCTAGGTCAGTAGAATCCTGAGTAAAAATCCTGATTTGATTTCCGCTTTGCCTGAATCAAGATAGTAACGGCCTTGGCAACTTGGGAAGGAATGGGGGCCCCACGTATTTCCTCAGTAACAGATCGATCTTTATTTCAGTACAACTACCCGTTTGTTCATCATCTTTATCACTTATTCTATCTTGACAGTATTGTAAAGAGTGTCCTTAACATTTAAAATTTCAGGTCATACTTTTATATTGTCGTCCCTTTTCTTCTACAATTGTACTCTCCCTTCTCTCTCTCTCTCTCTTTGACGTTTCAGATCGAAAGTCTGGAGTGTATTTTACTGTTAGATTTAATTCAGGGAACTGAAAAACATTAACTTTTAATCGACAGGGGATCGAAATACCAAACTATATTAGTGTCACAGTGTTATTTTCACACACATTGTGCGTGTGACGAAAGTCGACTATGGCGCTTCACGTACTGTTCACTGGCATTAGTTTACCGAAACATTTATAAATTGATTGTTAATCGAAATATGACTTGGATAGACAAGAGAAAAGTTGCTTCTAAACAAATTTTCCAGAGAGAAATTATAAAAAGATTGGAAAGTAAGTCAAACATAAATATGACCAGAAAGCTTTTACCAAAAGAACTGTTAGGTGTTATTTAAGGGAGAGAAAAAAGAAAATAAATAAGAGGGGGTAACAAAACTATCAGTGAAATGTTTATGTTAATGATGATTCAATTGCTTTGCAAGAAAAAACTTAATTACCAAGTCTTTGTTATGCCAATAATGATGCTTTTGTGATTATGTAAATTTGATTTGTAGTATTGTATTTTTTAATGTAACCATGTACTTAATATATCCTCTGATGAGGCAAAGAAAAAGAAGAAAAAAATTACCGAAGCAGATAAGAGTCCTATATTAAACGTAATAATTTCGAATGATTTATATGCAGAAATCTACACAATCTAGACATTCATTACATGTCTCAAATTTATAAGCAATATTACATGCATGCAAGATCCAATAAGCAATATTATCTTCCTTTGGGGGGGGGGGGGGGGACCAGAGCAGAAAATATAAAACCATTTGTTTTTCTATATCAATTTCACATGAACACAGCTAGAAAAGTTTACTGAAATAGATTCATGACAAGAGCTATATTGCTATTCTTAATACACGAATCCTTCGGCTCGGCATGCTAGTGAGGACATTTTTCCTTGATGACTAAAACTTGCAGGATAATACACAGTCAGGCGCAGAGTTCTCTATCTTACGACTCATTACTTTCACAAGGCTGTGCTACTATGTCACCTACGTTAGCCATGTAATGAGGCTCATGGCAGGTACGCAGAAGTTTGAGGCCATATGGCGTATGACCTGCATTGTGTTTTGTGGGTCATCTAACTCTGATGTTAACTTACCCGTGCATGAGAGCAAACACCTTTGCAGCTTTACGGAGATCTTATGGATCGTTATTTGATTTCGAGCGGAGTAAAATTATTTCTAAGCGGATTCCAGCCTGTCTGAGATCGGACAACACTTTTCGTTTTAATCTTCCGATGTAACTGATTTTCTATTAAATATAAGATGAAGAACAACGCATTATGATATCAGTCATTAAGCCTACTGTCTCTTCAAAATCCGGTTGGAAAATAGATAAAGAAGAATGGATTTTAAAGCCGACTCCTTTCCTCTCTTATCTAGAGGAATATATATGAATTTCCAGGAGATATCTTTGTTCTCCTCAACTGTGCTCGGCTTACAGGCCTAATACATATAAGGAACCCTTAAATATAATATTATCCAGGTCTTCAAAATTGAATCAAAACGAATTGCTAACGTTAATCTTGGCACAGATACTTTGTGAAAGTGGGCGTGCTGGTGTTTACGTCCTGAAGCACGGGGTGATGTGTGCGTCATCCAGGAGGCCTAGCCATGCTAACCGAGGCCATGTACAATCATCATCGCTTCCTCAATCGAGATAATCAATAGTGATTATCCTAATATAAAATTCTAACCCTCTTCTAGCCTTTCAGAGATATGATGTAAATAGTCCCATTGTGTGGATGTAATTAAATGTCTAGGCCTTAGATAACAACCTTATTATACTCTAGAAGACGATTTTTAGATTGAATGGAGATTAGACCATATGACATGATTCTTTTGACAAGTGAAAAGGGCTAACGCGCGAAAAATGCCTTTAAATACTATGCTGTTGTGAGTAATCATAATTATATTGAGAAAGGGAGAGAGATAATGGCAGAGGCAGATAAGGAAATGAGATTCGTATTAATAGAGCAAGATACGTAGTCTATGGTGTATGAGGAGATTGATTTTGTAGGGTGACGTGACAGTTGAGACATCCGAAGAAAATATATTAGGTGAATGTGATGCCTACTTCCATTGAGACGCCTTCTTGGAGGCTAGTTTTCTTGCAATTCCAAGTTTTGTTTTAGGTATTTCATTGTTGATATATACAAAATTCCGACTAACAGGGTAGCAGAAACGACATAATTATTTTCATTTCCTCATTCCCATAAATGAGTTTTTCTTTCAAGAACATGAATGTGTAAGTCTAAAGAGAAAGTGTTATTTCCACCTAGATGGCCAATGGGTATATATGATGTGAGATCATGATGTAACTTAATTAGCGCACGAGAAGGCCCCTAAAACCACGTAAATGTGTAGTTCTGGCAAAACATGAGATAACTCCAAGACTTCTCCTTGTTTTCTCCACTTCATAATTTGACGTGTGCCTTTCCTCACTTTTACTCTGCTATTTTTGGAAAGCCTCTTGTCAGCCGCCATTTCTAATAATGTCTGAGTGTGCACGTGATGGGTGCTGACTCGAGACATTTTAGCTGTAATGTGGGGTGATAATGTCACGTAGTGTCCACGTGGGTTGACTCACAGAAGACTGTCTATTGGGATTACCTGGGGACTTGAAGGTCCCAGCTTCAAACTTTCAAAGTCACCTTGTCCTATATTTCAGACATCATCTCAAATTCACCAAAGAGGAAAATATCAGTGAAGAATTCTGATGACTCTTAGGCCATTTAGCGTCCCCGCCCGCTTTTTGGGGGCCGCGTCCTATTTTTTTTTTTTTTGAAATTTTTCATTTTATCTTTTTTTTTTTTTTAAAGAAAAAAAAAAGAAAAACACTGCTAAAATGGATCTATTTCTGAATTTTAAAAAAAAAAAAAATGTTGGCGGCCATCTTGAAAAATAGCACGACTGTCAGGGAAAATGAACCGAGCGGCCATTTTGGGAGGCCATTTTGAAAGAAAAAAAAAGAAAAAAAAAAGGGCCTCCTCCTTCCTATTTTTCGAAAAAACAGGACGCTAAACATGTTGTGTTTTTTTTTTGGCCTTATATACATCCTACGTAAAAGGCTAATTTGGCAACAACAGTTTGTTTATCTTTCTTTCTGTATAAGAGAACACAGCGGTTCCTCTGAAACGTAAGATGCGTCTTCTTCTTATAAAAGAAGTTCAGTATTTCACGTGCTAGCTAGGGTATTGGGAAGGGTTATAAAGGAGTTAATTTATAATGGTGTTTTTTTTTTGGGGGGGGGGATCTGTTGTTCTCGCTTTCATTTAACGTATCAACAATGTCTAATTATGTTACCTCTCGTAATGATTCATACCCTGTTCAGGAGAACTACACAGATTGTTTATAGATTTGCGAGAATACTTCATTTCATCAGATTTAATGACGGAAATCTTATCAAGGGGTTGGGGGCTTACAGAAACTGTAGATGGGTCAAGGGAAGGCTTAAGGTCTTGGGGGACGGTATTCAGTACACCATGAAGAGCAAGAAGAAAAAAGATCTGTCGTGCAAACCACAGTCGGAAACATTATAGCGCCTTTGGAGACACGGGTTTCCTTCCTTCCAAGGACAACCTGGTTCTTTCGAACAAAGTACCCTCTCGGGAATTGATAATTTGAACGCATTAAGATGTCTCTCTTGAAAACTACATACAACCATGTACATAATGTTTCATGTGCATACTGGTCTCCTTGAGCTATGTGACTCACGCAGAATACAGTGCTTCGAATAGTATTCAATGATGAATCATACAAGAGCAGTCTTTATGAAGTACAACAATTTGGTTCAATGATTATAGTTTTTAGACCCTCCTACTCACAAGCGCACACATGTGTAGTGTTATGACTATTCTAGAGGCTAAATTTTCAAGACTCATACACTAAGAACGTACGTACGACTCCCTGTCGCAATGGAGGCTCTTTGCAATGAATTCAGAAGATGAGACGCCTAATCAATAATCTTAATTTCTATCATAGAAGTTAGGATATACAATTTACTCATGATTTGGTTCAATGATTAGTTTTGGTGAAATTCGATTGATTTTCACAACATACCTGTCTCGTGAATTAAATCTTATGACCTGAACAATCTGGTCCTTTATAGAAAGATTAAATTCGTGAAAGATAAAACAAGTAGAAAAAAAAGATGAGTGCCTGCTAGTTTTACTTGGCAAATACCTTTACCTACCTTGACCTAAGCCTTCCACACCATCTGGGAGATGTGTGATGGCTTCTGCTTCATGACCTCCAGCCAGATCTTCTTATCTTGTGATGTTCTGGTCGTTTCTGTTAGGGATCCTAGACATCTGGTAGCACAATCAGCCTTTATGCAATCAATCCAGTAGTTTAAGCTTTGATGCACCTCTAATTTCTTTTGCTGTCAATATGCTGTGAAGATTTTGAACAGCACATATGGCTTTTCCAATCCTATTCTGTATGTCCTCCGTGCATTTTCCTGATTGAGTGATGGTAACTCCCAGGTAAACAACTATTTCCACCTGTAGCAGTTCGGTTTCACCTATGCTGATGTTAATGTACTGCTGCCGCTTGCTGATGTCCTGGACCTCTGTCTTGGCTATATTGATTTTGAGGCCAAAGTTTTATTAAATAATAATGTCATATATACTATTCGCACGAGTAGGATCAACAGGGGCCTTGAATGCTGTCTGTACCTATTAATGAACTACGTTATCTATTACCTTTCCCTTTATCGAAAGAAGTTCATTTTGAAAATAAAAACCGGAATGGGAACCTCATTTGTCTAGAAATCGGATTTACTGTTACCTAACAAATGTGTGAACGTACAGTATAATTAAATCTACGGGTGAATGTTGTCTGAACAGGATGGGGGCGAAAGGGTATAATTATGGCTTTAGAGGTGTTAATTTAGGGGCATATTGCAATACAGTGAGACAGTTTGTCATCAAATCATCAACCCTTCCTGGATATTATCTTTGCATCTACATTGGAACAAAAAGAAACATAGACTATATAATCCCTTTGTAGCTTACCTAGCCAACCATAAGTATTCGTATCTGGTGGAACACCTTACAGGTTAATCTAGACCACAAATAGCGGTCAAAAAGAGAGGGGGAGAGGGAAAAGAGAAAGAGAAAGAGCGGTATTACATAATAGGGGAGGGAGAGCGACAGAGAAAGAAATGAAACATTATCAAAGGAAATGAAGAAAGGTTCTCAATTATCGAGACTATATGACAGTGAGAGATGAAGGGAGTGAATATAAGAAAGAGAAGATAATGAAGAGAGGAGGAGATACGGAAAGAAACATCAGAGAACATAGGAGCAAACCTAGTCCATAATTCATAACATTACCAGGTTATAATAAAATTGCTCGCTTCCAAACATTGCATTTTAGGGGTAATGTTATCTATCTTGGACACATATTAGAAATTTTGTATACTAATTTGATACACGTGCCAAAAAGCCTCCACAAGTAAGAGGTACCAATAATAAACTGTTGATTTGTAACAGTTTGTTTCATGTCAAGAAGCACGGTAAGAACTCGTCTGAGGCTACTGTAGATAAACATGAACATTTCCCAACTGATTTGAAAACTGATTTGAATATCAATTGGATGCTTTCCAGACCGATAATAACTCACCAGAAGTGTACAATGTGATTCACATAAAGGTCTTATAAACTGGCTGATCGCCAAAAGATGATTTCCTTCTACGAATGCATTGTTCCTGTAATGGCAAATTACAATTGTCACGCCGAATGGTTTCAATGATGGACCTCGATTTCTGTTGATTATGTTTAAAGGGGGCTCCACTTGACAGTCATCTCATGTGTTATGACATCTATTTGTGTAATATGTGGTCTTCTGTTTGTAATACAGGGTTTAGAATAGAACTTTAGACCAGCATCGTACTTCCAATTTTAATTATTTTAGAGAAAGATATCGACATGGACGGTTTGGATGGTGGCGGAAAATGGACCCTGGATCAACCGCTGTTGTGCGTGAGACCGGAGTTTGAAGCATTATGTCTTGCTTAAACATATCACTTCATTTGTCTACATATTTAGGTCTATTTTATTAATGTGTAACTTGATACTAACTCTAAGGGAAAGGCAATTTCTTGTCTTTGGGGTTTGTTATTCGGAAATTAGAAGAAGTGGAAGTGGTGATACATGATAAAGAATAAGTATGGGCGTAAAACCTGAAGAACCAGTCGTTTTCTTTGCTTTCATTTGAACTGAGCATTACAATATATCGTCGATTTGAATGATAAGGTGACAAATTCCATATAAATGTGAAGAAGGATGTTGGCCGGTGATTTATTAAAATGCTGGAATTATCATTGCGATAAATTCAATATCAAGCTTAAAGACGATTTACTTCTTGGGACAACGTGTTTGCAGCAGCTAGTCCTGTAATAAAATGTTGACAAAATCTTTATGATAATTACACACACCAGCACGCCCACAGGCACCTCACACACACTTCCACACGTACGCATCCTCACTCATTCACTCTCCTACTCACAAGCGCACACAAAATTGTGTAGTAGTGTTATGATTATTCTAGACGCTAAATGTTCGAGAATCACACACTAAGAACGTACGTACGATTCCTTGTCGCAATGGAGGCTCTTTGCAATGAATTCAGAAGATGCGACGCCTGAACAACAATCTAAATTTCTATCATAGAAGTTAGGGTATATAATTTAGTCCGGATTGTTATTGTTTGCTACACATTGCTTGTGATTACATTTCACATTAATTTTATAAGCATCATTTTAAAGTAACAATTAGGCTATGTTTAATCTGAAGTATATTATCATAATAAAATGAATATAAACGTAGGAATTAAACGCATAATTTCCTGATTCCATATGTAATCAGTCCGCTCAGGTAACTAACTACAGATACCCCCCCCCCCCCCCGCGGAAACATAAAAGCAAGAAAGGGATACGCATATAATACAAGTTATGTTGGATAGCATGAAAAAAGGAGCCATATTTATTTTTAGAATAGGGGTGATATATTGGGGAGTGAACGCACTTAATGACACATTAAAATGTGCGTGAGGTAAATCAACATTAATCAGACCTTAAAGGGTCCGTTAATAGTTGTGACAAGGCAAAGTGCATTTTGGGGTCATCATGCTAATCTGAATAGTATCGAGTAACTAAAATACCTCTGCTTAGGCCCTGAATGGGTTTTCTTGTAATAGCAGTCACGTCAAAATATGAGATTTCATTTATCAGCTAAATCAATCAATATAGATGAAATAAACAGAAGCAATTCGATAGAATACAAATGGTTTAATGTTATCCAAAAACAACGGAGGGATTTCCTTAATCAAATATCAGTCCATGTCTCTATACACTCACTCGTATGGGCTTAAAACACCCCTTTTTCCTTTTTTACGAGTTCCCAACAACCAAAATATAAACTGCCTCTTAATTTCGAGAATTTCTGACAGAAAATTCTATATGGGGCGTGTTACACCCCTCCCCTCTAACGATGTTCCTGAGTCTTTCCGCGTGGCATTTACAAGAGCAGGGTGATGATGAATGTAGCACAGAGCCTAAGATTGAGCACATGGCAAGGCACATGAAATGGGCGGGCATCTCATTTCGGAGCGGAAAGGGTATAATAAGATGTTTGATTTGATTTCCTGCACCTTCAGACTTTCACATCTGTCCAAGTGCCATGCCTGGTAGCCCCCCAAACGTCACGTGTTCCTCTATAGGAAGGGGAGGGGAAGTAAACACAACCCTTTCCAGCAGCACCCCCCCCCCCCTCACTAACCGCATCTTACTCGACTACATACACACATGTTTAAGTGCACTATATTACGGGTTACGTTTCATGTCAATAGTATCCATGATAAATGACACAATGATGAAGAAATATAGTGTGCCTATCGTTTAACATATTCAAAAATCCTTTTACCAACTTATCAACCGTGTAAAATATAGTTTAACATAACCCTTTTTACCAACCAAGATCCATAAAAGAAAATCTGAAAATATTGATGGATCTTGATTGTTGAAATGGTTAATCAAAATAACAAGACATCAGGCATGACTACTAAATCTTTTACTTTAGCATCCCTGGATTGAGAAATCCGAGGCATGTTTAAAGGATTATGATTCAACATGAAACAAATGAATCATGTCATAGCATGTCTATTAAAGAAGGAGCACCTAAGGAAGCATCAGGTTGAACTTGCAATAATACTATACCAATATAGACAATGATGGAAACCAGCTAGGAGTTATGGAATGTTATGATGTCAACATTTTAAAAGTAAATTCACGTAGACTATGCTTAACGAAATTGTACACAATATCACGTCTAAGTGTCATAATGTCTTATCAGACAAAAATAATTTAATGATGTAATAATGATTTGGATAAACGTAAACAAAAAGAGAGTTTATGACTGATTTGAAATGTTTAAATAACGCATTGTTATACATACGTCATACTTCACGCATGATTTGGTGGATAGAAAACTTGCTTTCGAAGTTAGCATGTTTGCTTCAAAGGTATTCGTCACGGAATGAAAAGCTTAACACCAGCTGTTTTCCATAAATCTTCGCATTTATTCATATAAGACCCGAAAATATCACATTTCATGCTGTATGATTCAACAACAATAACAATCCAGTCTTCATCTCCAAACATTTGTCATGCTTGCGACGATGTTCATGGCGTAGGGGAAAATGTTTCTGGAGAAGAAGAAAAAGAGTTTCAGACAAGTTATTTATACCATATACGGAAGGTGAATGTGCTGAATATTAGTAAGTCAACAGGGTAGCATAAAGCTTTAGTATACCTTAAGATTTATATTGGTATATTTTATGTATTCATGAATGATACATTATGTTTTACTTGTTATGATTTTTGTGTTAATAAACTCAAACTCAAACTCAATATGACAAATTCTTCCCATCCAATCATGATGAAACATATAAAACGAAATCAGACCTGAACGATTTTAATAAAGATTTTTCACAACCTAAGATTATCACTTGTACTTCAGTTACACCGCCGAACCGAATCCAGTCCGATTCCACACCGAACAATTTTTGTACATTGGGTGTAATTTCATTTTTTGTTCGGTCTGTAGTCGTGCTGGGGTCGGTCGCGTTGGTGTGACTGTGAGGTATTAGCAATCTAAAAATAATTCTTTATTAAAACGAGTCAAAATTTACTTAGTAATATTTTCACCTAAAACATTCGAATCTGGTGTATCTTGATAACATTTTTCTGTGTACGTTAAAGTTACATATATCAAAATCAAAAATAATGTACTGTATATTCACAAGATCTTCACAGTGGATTTCAACCGACTTTGGGGTATTGCGCCCTCTTACCCCTAAGTAGAAAGAAATATAGGACACTATTTCTTTAAAAAATATATATGTATACCTGAAAGTCTGAATTTTTATTTTTATTTCTTTTAACTCGCCGCGACAATGTTTGACATGTATGCCTTTAATCTGGAATGTGATATGGGCTTCCCCATGTCAGGTATATCCAAGATTAATGAGAAAAACGTAATGCTAGAACATGCGACCAAACCATGACCAACCTAGTCACATGAGACCACTGAAATTTAAGCCCGAGAACTGAGGTTTAAAGTGGTATTTCATTACTCCCCCTTTTTTATTTTAAAGTTTGTACATGTTTTCTAATATAGTCATCTATATCTATTAAATATATGTGAGTTTATTTTCACGTGCTGCGAAAGATATTTTAAAAG